CTTCCCCCAACACTCATTCAGTAAACGCTTGCTTCAGGTTGCCCTCAGAGTATTCAACTGAGTGGAAGTTAGCTGTGCCACTGTGTACATAGCCACTGAAGAGGACTCTCAAAGTCAGAGCTTATTTAGCATAAAAGCAGTCTGTAGATGCACTTCAAAATAAGATGTCACTGAACATAGTCACTCTTTTGTGGAAAAGCTACAGATACAGGGAAGGAACCAAATCTGCATTATTAAATTGATGCTTGATAACTAGAAATAGAGGGGGAGATCTTTGTTTTGGGAGATTGTTTTGTGTGTGTTTGATTTTTGTTTGTTTGTGGCTAGTATAGAGTTGCAGTTTTCCATTCGTTACTTCTTTATTCTTTGTCAGATTTGTCTTGTGAGTTGCTGTTGAAGCAGAAGAAACTCTACTCTGTATTTTGGAGGTGTAGAAGGGGGATCTGTTCCCAAAGAAGTGAACGCAGATCAGGAAAAGGACACAGTCCTAGCAGGCTCATCACTTCTTTCAGTTATAGGATAGATTTTGTTAATTCCCTTGTTGGATTCTCAAGACTGATTTAACGATTATTGACCTTCAAGATGTCCATTTTGGTATAAACCTGACCCTATTTAAGGAACCTTTCATGTTTCTAGCATGAACATCCTAGTACTAACGAAAGGTTCTGCCCTTCAGATATTCCACGGCATCAAGGATACTCATCAAGTGTTGATCTTCAGTAAGAGCTCACTTAAACAACCAGTTCAGGCTTGTATGCTTTTCAACAACATGCTGTTTTGAAAACGGTGTTAGCAGGTCATTTGTCTTTCATTCAGATTCTGCATCATATTACCTGGAAGCAAACAGATAAGGTAAAGAGACAATGTTTAAGAACAGTTTGGTTTAGTAGAAATACTTTAATGGGAGAGCAGCTTCTGAAGTGTGATTTGAAAAAACAGTCTGGAATTTGTTTTACTCAGAAAAGGTCAACTGGAATCAAAGAAGCTATTTAGATGTAGTCTGTTCTCTTCCTATGGTGGCTAGATCGCTTCAAGGCAATAATGACATCTTTTTTTCTTCTGGTTTAGCAGTAAATGTTCTCCTTTTTAATCATTAAAATGAAAAGCTGTCTGCACAAAAGTTTCGTTGAAGTGTGTAAAATAGGGCAATTAAGCTGTTGAGGCCTTTTTAAAATTGTAAGGGAGTGAACTGATGCTACAGTTGGGTGACCATGAGTATAGATTCTTGCTTTGTAGAAGGTTGCATAACGTGTATGGTGTACAACTCTAAGAACAACATTGCTTCTTCAATTCATTAATATTGTGTCTTCACAGATACGGCTTCCATGTTACCAAAGCTTCATATTTCATCTGCCACGATCCTAAAGTTATTCAACAGCTTTTTGACAACCTTAGAAATTTTGATGGAAAAAACACATACCCAAAATCTTGCGGTAGATTTAAAGTTTCTGGAATAAGGGATCTGACTACTGGGTATGACAGCAGCCAGCCAGATCAAAAGGCTGTAAGTATATTTTTTAAATTACATATAAATCATGTAAGTATGTATATACAGGTATATGAGAAATTCTATGGACAAACACTCCAAGCATTATGTTACATCCTGAGTCTTAAAATAAGTTAGATTGGGGATGATTGTTTTGCGTTGGTGGGAGGAAGTGAAGGCAGGGGCGGGGGGGGTGTTGTTTGGTTTTGTGGTGGTTTTTCTCTTCAAGATGACAGTCTGTAAAGGGAGGTAGGAGGATCTTGCTGTCTCACTACAGCAATTGTGCATTATTTTCTTGTAAGATTAAGTTAAACTGTCTACTGAGATGTGGCTTTGGGTTCTTTAATTTTCCACAATCCGTGTTTCTTTTCCTCCTGGGAAATGCTATCACAGAGCAATTTCTATTTGCAGTAAAAATGTTGACTAGACTTGAAATGAGCTACCTAGCCGTACCATACTGCTACCAGATTTTAGGACAGCGTAAGGCTGTCATTTGCTTGTTGTAGTCTCAAGACCACAATGATGAAGAAAACAGAGCAAAGCTTAATTTTAGCTGATCTTTTAGTTACATTAAATGACATGAAGTCATGAGTTTTGTCTTGAAATCATTATATATTGTCACTTTCCAAGCTTCTAAAAAATTATTCTTACTACTTCTAGATTCTTCCTACTAGTAAAAGTAGCCAAATGATAACATTCACTTTTGCTAATGGAGGAGTGGCCACAATGAGAACCAGTGGGACAGAACCAAAGATCAAATACTATTCTGAACTTTGTGCACCTCCTGGAAACAGGTATTGCCGCTTACAGCAGTAAATTCTGTGTAATAGGGGCTGTGTGGCTTTTTGGTATTGTTTTGGTGGGGAAGGGGCTCTCCGTGACCAAATAATATTAGTACAGTCACTATTTTAGCAAATGTATTTGCATGAAGCTTCAAGTCTGCAAAATTTATTGACACATTCTTGTTGTCACTGAAATTCCTTTGAACTTGGTTTCACATTCAGTAAAAACAGTATCAAGAAAAACATTCTGCCTTAAATGAAAGTAGATATATTCACTCTATTTACATACATAGTTGCTTTAAGCTTATATAACTATATATAGTATTCTAATATATTTTAAACCCTTTTATCTTTAGTAATTATATCCTTGACTGATAGCCTTGGAATTCATATAGTCTTAAAGATAAGCAATTATTAACTTATATAATGAAAATAATGCTTTCTTACAGATGAAAATTCATCTGAAAATACAAGTATAAAAGTTACATATGTTTAGTAATAGAAGATCTTCTGAACTCAAACTGGCTGTTCTATTTTAGATTTTATTATGGGTTTATGTTTCTCCATAGTCTTAAATGCCTTCATGCACATCAGCTGGAAGTGAACATCAGTGCATTACCATAAGAAATCAAGTGTATATACTTTTAGTATTAATAGAAAATGTTTGTCTAAAGCAATGCAACAGACTTAAAAATTCCTCAGACTGAAAATGTGCTTTTTAGCTTCTCCACTGTGACACTGTTTTCTGTATTTGTGTTGATTTTGTTTCTCAGTGACATTGAACAGCTGAAGAAGGAACTAGATGAATTGGTCAACGCTCTTGAAAAACACTTCTTTCAACCAGAAAAAAATAATCTTCAACGGAAGACTGAGTAAAAGAGCAAAATTACTACCTTAATTGGTTTTTGCAGCATTAGAAGTGCATTATTTAAGAAGTAAGGATTTTTAGGACCAAACATCTAAGAACTCAGACTGAAAAGACTTCTGCTTTTATTAAGAGTTATTCTGGGTACTCTTGGATCTAGTATCTTATTTTGGAAGGAAAGTACCTTTACACTTAAAGGACCAAAAAAACCCAATCAGTTCAACTAAAAGCTTTATGAACTAGAAGTTAACTGCAAATGTATTTCAATCAAAACCTGTTTTAATTACATATAATATGTAATATCCTGATTTCTGGAATGCAGCCTGTTTTGTGGGGACTTTTATTTCTTTTCTGTGTGCGTGTAATCTGATAATACTATGCAGCTTTATCTAGGTTTAGATTTGCAAAGCAAGTTCTTCTGTTAACAAGAAGTACTGAAAGCCTGTGGTGAGACTTCAACAAGCTTGAGGCAAATATTTCAGAAACAGTGATCTTTCTTGGGGATCCTGGCCCAAATAAACAAGAAACTCACAGTGAATTTGCTGAAGATCTGTTTGCTATGGGACTATACATCATATTCAAGGTTAGAGATACTAAGTCTACTGAACTGCCTTTTAATACCATGAACATAGTGAGATAATATATCTATATACAGCACCTTTCTGTTGCCTTATTGAACTACATAATTAGTTCAATGTATACCCCAGTCTCGAAGCCTGTCGTGCTGTGTGCTACCATCACTTGATGCCTAACTCTACATGTCTAATTTAGACCAGAAGTTTCCATTTTACTGCATGCTGTTGTCTGCACTTGCAGAGCCTGAAAGGCTTATTTGGAGGTTACCAGTTGACTTTAATACAAGGGTTTTCTGCATTTTCAACACTTGTTTTCGATATCAGTGTAGCTCTAACAGCCCCAGTACTTCTTGGGTAAAGAAACCTCATTGCCAGAATTACTTCTAGTTTCTATTAGAGAATGACTAGTTACCAGAGCAAGCATAGATCAAATTTTGCAAATTATTCATAAAAGAACAAACTTGCCATTCCATCCCCAGTAAATACTGGCCTACCTTATTAACTAAGATGATAAGCAAAGAACACTGGATGCCTGCTTTTACCTTACTGACTTTAGAGTTATCATTAGAGGACACAAGGAAAGGAGTAGTCCTTGCATTCTGTGGCTGTCACGTCAGATTTTCTTGGCTGTGCAGAGTCAAAGGCAGCATCTGAATCATTCATATTGAGGTCCGTCTGTGTGGCATAGAAAATTAACTTTAAAATAAAGTAGTAAGAAGAGTACTGAGGGAACAGTATGCTGTTAATCAAATCCTAGTCCTTTAGAGTAGAATGCTAAAAAGATAGGTTATTAGTTTGTGCAAAAAGTGCTTGTTCTTGTATACTAAACCAAAGATGAGACAGATTATTATTGATACATGTTTGTTTGGTGCCTTGAGTAATGTAGTCCATACTCCTAAATAGGACCTTAGGGGCTACTGAATGTAGTAATCACTGTAAAGGGAATCTCAGTATTGAGTTCAGTGCAATCAGCTTCATCAGATTGCATGAAATTTCTGCATATGTCAACTCCCACTGTCTTTTCCTTCTGAAAATAAAAGCTAAGGACAAATTGAAGATTTAAAATAAATATATAGTATTTTAGACTTCTTTTCATGCGTGTTAAGTGTGCTGAAACAGTGCATTTGGCATGTTGTCAATCAATCTGAACTGATTCTCAAAAGGAAAGTAGAACTTTGTAAGACACTGAGACAGATGGATCGCCAGTCCCTTTCCACCTGACCTTCTGGAAGAAAAGTCTATTAATCTAATTTTTTTTCTGATTAAAGAGATGGGTTTTTTTCATGAAATCTGAAGGCACATTACCAGTCTCTTAAAATTTTAGGGTTTGCCATCTTACTTTTGTCCCTGGAAGTATTTTGAGAATTCCAAGTCCAACTCATGCCTTATCATCTAGAACTGAGATGGGGAGGGATTTCAAGACCATCCATAAGAGGGAGGCATGAAAACAAGGATCTGTTATTAAGGAATTAAAGTAGCTTTTGACACAGTCCAAATCTAAAGTACTACTCAATAGTAGATGTTCCCTTGTTCCATTTCCTCTGCTTCCTCAGTACCTGTGGTGCTTGGTCCCCAGCTGCCTGAGACCTGGAATAGTAAGCATGTGGTACAAATTTGTGAGACCAGAGTATGAAGTGATGCTGACACATCACAGAAAAAAGCTTGTACCTGAGTCTTTGAGGTTTCTGTGATTAGTTTCAATGTGGCAAGGACTGAGAAGAGAAACTAAGCAGGAACCTTACCCACTGCCCCCTAACTCTGCTATTGCAAAGGTTCCTCTTTTCTTCTTTCCCTGCCTCTCAGCACATGAGGTCCTGCTTTCCTTCATTTATGAAGAGGCAGCAGGGAGATGTGAAAAGAATAAAGTAAGGGGGAAGATTAAATTGAGATAGCAGGTGGAGATTCTGTACTCCTATATGCAAGGAGGAGTACAAAGCTGAAAGGAGATAGCTCCCATGTGTTACTTTTCTGTCTTTTACACATTGATGAAGAGAAAAGAGTAGGAGGATGAGAAGCAGGATGGAAGATTGGGGCACCTGATTCTCCTAACTTGTCCTTAATTTGTTCCCTCTGCCATTCCTGGTAAGAGCCTTCCTATGTGGAACACCCTCCCTCAAAGGAACGCTGTCTTCTGGGTGTGCAGGATAACGGCTGATGTAGGGTGTCATGTTCAGCTGCACCATCAGTTCTGGCAGAGCAAGTAGAAGGATGAAGCTTGTGAGGGAAATGGAATCTGATTCAGTAACTGTAAATTATGACTTACATACATTCATAACCATAGCTACATACTTTTTATAAATGGGAAACTTTAAAGCTTTGTTATCTTCCCAGAAGTCAAGTTCTCTATCCTTGTTTTTTTAGATACAACTTGACAAAACCACCCAGTTGTGCAGCTGGGTACAGGGAAAGAATCTCTTGGAAAGCTCAAGAAATTTCTCAGCATCATGACGGGAGGAAGGCATGTGCTATTCATTTTCAGCTATGACTTGTTTCACCCTGCATGCAGATGCGATTGGTTCTTCAAGGAGTAGGAGTTCAGTGGTATTGGGGTTTTTGGCTTCTGGGTAGTCATCTACTGCAACGTGATGCCAGTCTGTCACTGCTGTCCTGGCACATACCTGCTGCATGTCTGTGCCTGGCTCTAGCCCCATGTCAGGTTGGGGGGAGGAGGGGGAGATGCAGGCACATGGTCCCTAGAACAGAGTAAAGGGCCTTATTTCAAGGTACTGGCTAAGTGGGAAGTGACAGGGTGGATGTTTGGCCTATACCTGAATTTTACTCTTGGTAGAGTTGAACATGTGACTTGTGACTTAACCACAGGCCATCCTTGCAAAACATGGTTTCCTGTACTGCATTGCAGCCTGAGCTTCAAAGCAAAAGGCTTTTCAAAAGCTCCCAACCCAGACTGCTCGCTGCCTGCTTAGAGGACACTGGTCAGTGCTTCCGAGGCTGACTTATTTGTGGTGTCCAGGCTCTGTGTGATCACTGTGGGCTGAGGGTCGAGATTAAGACAGGCCACCCAGCAGCAGCACCTTTGCCAGAAGATATAGCAGTAGGGGGCATACCATGCTGGGGTGTGCATCATCTTTCAGCATGCTAAAGACAAAAGCATCTTGAAAGAGAAATGCTGAAGAAAGAGCTGCAGTACACATATGATAAATGTAAAACACTCCCTCAGCAGCCTAAGTAGGCAGAGAGCAAGTGGTGCTACAAACCTGTGGCACTTGGGGTGGACTGTACAGTCACCAGCTGTGGCCCTGGTTGTATTTCACCTTAAACGGCAGTGTGGATGGATGCACTGCAGCTGGCTGGGCCAGCTGTGCTATGCAGCTGGTGCAGTCTCCAGGGGTGAGGGGTCCCAAGCTGGAGAGCACAGACAGGGGAAGCGTTCTGCAGGAGGCAGACTTGGGCAGCGCCTTCAATTTGGGTGATGGTGAGCTGTACCCAGGGCAGGGGAAGCTTTGTGGATCTGTACAAGCCTGCAGCCCTGGACTTTGTTAGGGAGGTGATTCTACCTCTCTACTCTGCTCTGGTGAGACCCTGCTGCAGTACTGCCTTCAGCTCTGGGGCCCTCAGCACAAGAAGGACATGGACCTGTTGGAGAGAGTCCAGAGGAGGCCACGAAGATGATCAGAGGGCTTGAGGACCTTTCCTGTGAAGACAGGCTGAGAGAGTTGGGGTTGTTCAGCCTGGAGAAGAGAAGGCTCCACGGAGACATCGTTGTAGCCTTTCAATATATAAAGAGGGCTCATAAGAAAGACAGAAAGACATTTTTTACCAGGGCCTGTAGTGAGAGGACAAGGGGTAACAGTTTTAAACTGGAAGAGAGTAGATTTAGATTGAATATAAGGAAGAAATTTTTTCTGGTAAGTGTGGTGAGACATTGGAACAAGTTGCCCAGAGGAGTGGATGCCCCATCCCTGGAAATGTTCAAGGCCAGGTTGGATAGGGCTTTGAGCAACCTGGTCTAGTGAAAGATGTCCCTGTCTATTGCAGGGGAATTCAACTAAATGATCTTTAAAAGGTCCCTTCCAACCCAAACCATTCTGTGATTCTTTTCATTTTCATTTGTAGTGTGGGAGGTCTCACATTTCTTTTGTTATGTGTTTAATATGAATGTGTTTAAGCATGCTTTACTGAATTCATGGGGAAGGTCTGAAGATAGTAGGGCTACAGGTCCTGAATTTTTTGTTGTTTTCTGTATTTATCTGAACATCTCCACAGCCTAGAGAGGCATGTTTATTTTACATCTGCCTCTACATGCCAAGCCTGGATCTGGATTTTGCTAATGTTTCCTCTCTCTAGGAAAGCCATCTGTGTTCGGCCTTGGCCAGAGTCTGTCAAGGTGCTTCACCCTTGAGGGATGCTAAGGAGAACTGGATGGCCTGGTCTCTCCCTCAGGTTCCTGTGACAGGCTGGGTTTCTGCGGAGCTGTTCCCATTATTTGTGGATCATTACACACATTAATTACTACTGCTGTCCTGCCTGGAGATCTCCTAGGTACGTCATCTCTCCTGGGAGCAGGCAGTCCCTGGTAGTGCTGGGGTGGATGGCTGGCTACCTGGCTGATTCTGCTAACGTGCTGATAGTAGGGCCATGATGCTGCTGCTGCCCCTGTTGTCACTGTCTTCACCATT